AAAAGTTAAAAGAATGTTAAAAGGAAATATGTCACTTTGAGGACTAAGTTGCACCTGATCCAAGCCATGATATTTTCAGTTGCCTCATATGCACACAAAAGCTGGACAGTGAATGAGAAAGATCAAATAAGAATTGATGCCTTTAATTGTGATGTTGGTGAATAATATTGAATATATCATGGGCTTCAAGAAGAACACAAATCTGTCTTAGAAGTATAGCCATGATGGTCTTTAGATGTGAGGACAGAGAGACTTCAGCTCATGTACTTTGGACATATTCTCAGGAGGAACCAGTCCCTGGAAAAGGATATCATGCTTAGTAAAGTAGAGGGTCAGTGATAAAGAAGATGCTTAATGAGACGGGTTGACATCGTAGCTGCAACAATGGGCTCAAACATAGCAACAATTATGAGGACGGGGCAGGAGAAGGCAGAGTTTTGTTCTGTTGTACATAGGGTCACTATGAGAAGGAACCAACTTGATGACATCTAACAACAACAAGGGAAGTAGTGGTTCAGTAGTAGAATTCCTGCCTTCCATGTGGAAGACCTGGGTTAAATTCCAGACCAATCCACTTCAGGTGTAACTTCCACCCATCTGTCAGTGGAGGCTTGAATGTTGCTGTGATGCTGAATGGGTTTCAGCAGAGCTTCCAGACTAAGATAGTCTAGGAAGAAAGAACTGATGATTTATTTCCGAAAATTAGCCAGTGACAACTCTATGGATCACAACAGTCCAATTCTGTTGTGCATAGTGGCACCATGTCAAAGTTGACTTAACTGCAGCTAACAGCAACAACAGAATTTGGCACATTGTGGATACTTACTTGTGTACATGTCTATTTCCTCATCTTTTAACATGAGCTGCTGGAGGGCAAGGCTGTTCCATAATCTTATTTCTTATCACCATTCATTTTTATGATATCTTGCTAATGCAGATAGTATTTTTAAACATTATCTGTTATTATTAATCTTTAGTGGAATCCTGGCTGAAAATTCAAGTAAACAGAGTAATAATTACTCATTTCTCCAATTAAGATAAACGAGGGGATCAGCAAAGGTCCAAATTGTAAATCTTTTAGACTTTTCAGGCCATAGGGCTTTGTCTCAACTACTCAACTCTGTATTTATACTGTGAAAGGAGACATAGACAGTACATAAATAATTGTGACTATGTCCCAATAAAATTTTATTTTTGGATGCTAACTTGAATTTTATATAAATTCTATGAATCATGAACTATTTTTTTCCCAATGGTTTAAAAATAGAAATACTACACAGGCCATAGTTGCAGACCTCTGAGCTAGACTCTGAACCATCTGTCATTTGTAGGGAAGGATTGATAGAACATGAGGCAGACAGCAAAGGACCAAGTCTTTGACTTTTGCATTTCAAAAGTCTAAATAACTGGTTTAAGACAAAAGATTTAGAAGGACATATGATTAATGACAACTAGGTCTCTCAATCACCACTACCCTTCTCTCCTCTGCCAAAAACTAGATGAACATACTATTGTTAGTTGATGTCGAGTTGACTCTGACTCCCAGTGACATGAAGTGTAACAGAATGAAAGGTTGCCCAGTCCTGTGCCACATTCATGATCATTGGTATATTTGTGTCTATTGGTGTGGCTATTGTGTCAATTCATCTCATTGAAGGTTTCCCTCATTTCCACTGACTCTCTACCAACCATGATACCCTTTAATAGTGATTGGTCTTCCCTAATGACATACAACGTAAAGAAGCTGTAGTCTGCCTGGACCAAAAGAGGAGGAGATTGGGGAGGGAGACCAAAATAGTTCAGACACTGGTGGGTTTCTGAAAAGGGACCCTTCTCTTTGGGTCATGCCCCAGTTTGGGAGTAGGGAGAAGCAGGGATTATTGAACTTCCTTGATAGGCTGGAGATTTTCCTTCCCTCCACCTAAGGATGCTCCCCAGAGCTTAAATGCAACTCTATGGAAAAAGGAACCTCAAACTAATAGAGACTAAGTTTCCAAACACTTTCCTCTTCAGAACTGAAGTTTTAAATAGAAATTAACTCCTATAAAAGGTAGTTCTAGTTCTTGAAATCCTACTCCCTATATAGACATTCAAAAGGGGTTATTGATGGGATATCCAAGATTGAAATTTTTGAATTCTCTTTCTCCTTTACCCAAACAATTAGTACAAAACAGGGTCTGGAGAACTACTTTAATGCAAGCAACTTGTCTCCTTGTGAATTTTCATCATCAGTTTTTCTTTTTCACTAAATCGGATTCAAAGTTCTGCCCTTGTCATAGTTTCTTTGCACAGGGACTTTTCCCTTAATGGCTATCATTTCATCAAAAACTGAAAAACCAAACCCACTGCTATTGAGTCAATTTTCACTCACAGCGACCCTATAGGACAGAGTAGAACTGCTCCATAGGGTTTCCAAGCTTGTAATCTTCATGGATGCAGATCTGCCTTGTCCTTCTCCTGTGAAGTGGCTGGTGGATTCAAATCTTTCAGTTAGTAGCCAAGCACTTTAACCACTGCATCACCCAGGCTCCCTATAACCTCATTACTAGTCATTAATCATTCACCATAGGCAATATACATTTTCAATTGTTTCCTTCAGTGACTCTTGCAGTTTTCTTTCATGTGCTTGATAGCAACAATAAGAGAGAACTCTGGTGGGTGGCTGGTGGGGGCAAGGTGTCACTGTGTAGTTCAGTTGGATTGAATTCATTTGTCACTTGAGTATCCCATTGACTTGTGATGCACAGGTCACAGAAGAGTGGATTGTGCTGGTAACCACTACTGGTGAAATAATGGGCATAGGTTATATTTTACAAAGGAAATACCTATTTTAAAAATTTAGTCCAAGTAAATAATGAACAATGTCTAATTAGTGGATTGTGCTGATGAAATGCCTCCATTGCTCCCTTAAAAATAATGAAAACACATGCAGGGTTTGCTTGTATCACTACAAAAACTGCACTTATGGGAAAACAGCATAAGAAATGGTCCAGCTCTCTCAGTGCTATTTGTCTTCCAAAGGTATTATCTTGAGGCTTTTTGTGTGTATAAGGCCCTAAGCAGTCACCTGCTATGCTGCATTGTAGAAACACCTCTGTTAACAATTTTGTAAAAATTTTCATTCTGTTTTGAAATTCTGGCTATACTAGAGGGTATTAAGGGCTTATCTATAAACATATGGCAAGAGCCACATTGGAGAATAACAACACTCTTACAAGAAAAGCTAAAATGAGGTAGAGTGCATTTGAAAGTCAAACTTTGACAAAATAAGTAAAAACTCCCCATATTTACACAGCAGAAGATTCTCAACACCAAGGGTAGAGATGTGACTTATGGAGATTCTGAATGATATCTTTGAGGGAACTCGACATTCCCACAACTTACACAAATATTTGCATGCGTTTTACATTTTAATGCATAGCATGTTTTAAAGATTTATGTTAAGATTTGCTTTTAGTAGAAGAATCCTGAATGAGGTTGATACCTTGGTTTTGTTTTGTTTTTTTTCTTTTTCTTTTTAATCTTGGTAGTTTTGACTTTCTCTTCACGAATGTCTGTTATTTTTCCCAGTTGCAGCATAGATGCATTTCTAGACATGTTTTATGTTTACCTTTTAAACATGCTTTCCTCAGTAAATCACTTGCTACAACTTACCGAAGGGGCTGGACAAATGTCTTCTTTTCTCTCTCTCAACTAACCCAGCTTGTTTGGGGTTGTTTTTCATTATGTTTTATAGTAGGTTGTGTGGCAGATAGATCACCCCAGAAAATAATTCATAGATTTTTTTTTTTCTCTTCTATTTTCTTGTTCCTCTTCTTTTGGATTTTTTACAGTTCAACATCCTTAAATGTTTTTTGTTTTTTTTTTTTCCCTCTGTCACAAACACACACATTTATATAAGGCCCTGTTATTGTTGTTAGGTGCTGTTGAGTCAATTCTGACTCATAGTGACCTTGTGTACCACAGAATAAAACACTGCCAGTCCTGTACCACCCTCACAAGCCATGCTGTGCTTGAGTTCATTGTTGCAGCCACTGTGCCAAGCCATCTCATTGAGGGTCTTCCCCTTTTTGCTTGTCCTCTACTTTGCCAAGCATGATACCCTTCTCCAGGGACTTGTCCCTTCTGACAACATGACCAAAATAGGTGAGAGGCAGTCTGGCTATTCTTGCTTATAATACTGTAAAAACCTAGAATAAGTGCCTAAAGCATTTGACTGCTAACAGAGGGCTGGTTGTTCAAACCCCCCAGCCACTCCTCAGAAGGAAGATTAGAGGATCTACTTCCACAGTGATACCATCTCAGAAACCCAAGAGGGGGTCGCCATGAGTCGGATCCGACTTGAGGGCAGTGAGTTTGGTTTTTTGGTTTTTAACAGCTTAGTTTATGAGTAATTTTTTTTTCAAAAGTCATCATTAGCAAGTGAAATTATTTTATCATGTAGGAAGAACTATTGATCTAAATATCCAACACAGAGAGAGAGAGACTGATTGAAACACTTGAGTTTAGTCCCTTGTCGTGTATGGATAAGTCATGTGGCTGCTAACCAGAAGGTTGGTGGTTCAAGCCCACCAGCTACTCTGCAGAAGGAAGATGGGGCAATCTACTTCCACAAAGATTTATAGCCTCGGAAACCCAATGGGGGTCACTCTGAGTTAGAATTGACTCGATGGGGTTGAGTTTAGGTTTTGGTTTTGTCCCCACTCCATTAAAATCAGCCCTTTCAAAATTAAGAATATATTACATTTTGAGTTTTCTTGAGACTTCAAAATTTGGGAATTATCAAGTACCAAAAATATGTATTTCACTTATCATGTTTATAATGTGAATTTGAATGTTTTATGGTTATGTTTTGTATAAAGTATCTATTTCTTTGTTTTTCCAGGGTATGGAAGAGTGCCTGGAACATAGTAGGTGCTGCATAGATTTCTGCTAAATGGAATATTGTTAATTTTAGAAGCACATTGCATCATTTTTCTATTGTTATTCATCTGTTTTAGGTTAAAAGATTTGACACCAATTTTACATATGCACAACAATCGGATTTCTACCTGGAGCCAAACGCTAAGTACATGTTTCAAGTGAGATGTCAAGCAGCAGGTAACAGGTATTGGCAGCCATGGAGTTCACCCTTTTTCCATACCACGCTCAAAACAGGTGAGTGTACTCATATATTTTATTTTATTAGGCCTTTCTTTTGACATCTGTCTCTCTTCTAAGAATGTTTTCCCTCCAATTTCTAACAAAATTGACAAAGCTATATTAGGGCAGGTGGTAACATTTAAATGATCATTTGGCTCTGATTTGGTTAAGACTGACTGCAGTTTAAGTAATGGTCCTCACTTTCTTTGGCATTAAAACCACCTGGGGTGACTGTTTCAGATGCCTATTCCCTGTTCCTGTTCTAGAAGGTCTGATTCCACAGGCCACAGGATGCTCAAGAGTCAGCATTTTTTACAAACTTCCTGGGTGAGGATTATTGTTGTTGTTAGGTGCCATCAAGTTGTCTCCGACTCATAGCAACCCTATGCACAGCAGAACGAAACACTACCTGGTCCTGCACCACCTCTGTGATTCCTGCTATACTTGAGCCCATTGCCCCAGCCACTGTGTCAACCCATCTTGTTGAGGGCTTTTCCCTCTTTTGTCGACCCCACCACCTTACCAAGCATGACATCCTTCTCCAGGGAATGGTCCCTTCTGATAGCATGACCAAAATAGGTGAGAGGACATCTGGCCATTCTCGCTTCCAAGGAGCATTCTGGCTGCACTTCCTCCAGGACAGATTTATTAGTTCTTTTAGAAGTCCACGGTACTCTCTGCATTCTTCACCAGCACCACAACTCAAAAGCATCAATTCTTCTTTGGTCTTCCTTGTTCATTGTCCAGCTATCACATGCATATGAGGCAGTTGAAAATATCATGGCTTGTGTCAGGCACATACTAGTCCTCAAGGAGACATCTTTGCTCTTCAGCACTTGAAAGAGGTCTTTTGCAGTGGATTTGCCCAGTGTTATATGTTGTCTGATGTCCTGACTGCTGCTTTCATTGGCATCAATTGTAGAACCAAGCAATATGAAGTCTTTGACAATTTCAATCTTTTCTTCATTTATCATGATGCTACTTATTGTTCCAGTTGTGAGGATTTTTGTTTTCTTTATGTTGAGGTATACTCCATAAGGCTTATATATTCTAAAATCTCACATTGATAAATTCTAATGAGGAAAAGTACATACAAGAGTTACATTAAATCATTTAGTCTGCAGCTGGTAAAATATGCTCTCCTAAAGGAGACACAAATTAAATCATATCAACAAGTATTGATTACCTACTGTATGGGAGTTCTGGTAGCCTAGTGCCTAAGGCATTTGACTGCTAACCAGAAGTCAGTGGTTCAAACCCATCAGCCACTCCTTGAAAGGAAGATTGGGCAATCTACTTCTTTTGATACTGCCTCGGAAACGCAAGGATGGGTCACTATGAGTTGGATCCGACTTGACAGCAGTGAGCTTGGTTTTACTGGTTTACTTACTGTGTGCAAATCAATCAGAAAGAGTTAAAGCACATAAACATGGGATTAATTCTTTTTCCAGTGACAGAGTCTAGCTGCTCTATTGTTCATCTTCAGATTTTTTCCTGCTCCTTATATTATTTATTTATTTATTTATTTTAATTTTATTTTGATTTGGGTGAAGATTTACAGAGTAAATTCACTTTTCATACAGCAGTTCACATATACTTTGTCTCATGTCATTGACCAAAATTTACAAT